ATTGCAATGTCTCTAGCTATAAACATAAATGGAGCGGGCATGTTTCGTTTGGCTTATAGAGAAGCTACGAGTAGAGTAGACGAATATCGAAGGAGTATTTCGTTTCTCAGAGATTGGCCGAACAGTAAAAAGTCCACTCAATGGCATCGGCATCGACATTTGTTTTTATTAGGGTCCAGCAGCTATTGCCGCCTTACGTGTGGACACAAGATCTAACGGAAGGAGCACAAATCAAGCGGACGACCTATCGATAAACATTCTATCTGGATCAAGTGTTATATTTTGTCGTACAGCTAGAGAGGAATGAATGGTAGAGAATTTCAATTGATAAAATGAAATTGCAGAATATTTTTCATTAATTCAGAATCAGTTGTGGGAATATTTTCATACCAGACGGAATATCATTGTGTCGAATGAACTATGGGTATCAAGAAATGCTCAATCCTGTTCAGAGAAGAAGTTAGGAATAACAAAATGACTCATGAGCATAGCTTGATACTCTGAACTCGTCCACCCCCATCAACTACAATTTCCTGAATAATATAATATATCGAAACAAAATAACCTCCCTGTTTTTTGCTATTTTGTATAGATCAAATTTGGTACATCGATTTGCATTCATGAGTGTATGATTTCGCTAGAATCAGACCAAATATGACAATTCTAGTTTGACCGGAAGTGCAATTCTTTTTATTCCATTTTCAAAGTATCTGTATTTTGATGATACGATTCAGAATAAAAACATCTCTCCAACGATATATAACACACTGAAGAACTAAATTTATATCGAAATATCATCCAAGGCCCACTCAATAATGTCTCAATTTTGGCCCACGCCCGATTGAGTTGAAATTTCAGTCTACTTGACTGTGTAGAATGGTAATTCATGAGTCAATTCATTTAATTTGGTCGGGAAATTGATAAAATATCTAGTTTGAGGTGAAAATTCACTGAAGAACTTCAATCAGTAAATCAACTCACGACCACATATGCAGTCAGTTAATGGAATTTTTTACAATGCAATGTTGATTATTTCGGACAAACCGTGCGATGAGTGTGATATTTAGTCTGATACTAGTAACATTAAACACTCATGGAATCAAATTGATATACCAAATTCGAAACATTCATTGAAATACCAATGAACAGGAAGGCCAATTGGTTTCTGGTCTCCAGTATACCTAATTGAAAATCTCTACGAAAATGATTTCAAGTGGTACCAGTGAAAATCATCTTCATAAATTTCATATCTCTCGATGTGAACATGGAATGTTTTACCTACTATTCCACTTCGGCAATACACACGTACATTTCTGTTCTATTTCGGATATAAACTTCTGAGGAGTGTATGTGAAAATTCATAAGCACAAAGTTCTGCCGAACGATACAATACAACATTTCATTGATCTACTCTGAATTACATCGAAAGAAGTTGAATCGACAGAGAGAATGGAAATTGGAAAATTCAGATAGGTAATCACACGATTCACATGAAAAAACTTCACAAACGATGAGATTTCCACAAAATTCTTAATCACACTACATGTTTCGCGAACACGGTAGCTTCATCAGGTGGAAAGGCTCGATAAACCCTCTTTTTCGGAAAATAGGCACAATTTTTACAAAAAAATACGGTGTAACGAATTAACTTGGGAGGGTTGATAGCAAATACATATCACCTACGAGGAAAACAGATGAAAAAAATATAGCTGGCCAGTATAGTTCAAAATAAAGGAAAATTGAAATCCTCTATTCTTGCCAGCAAAAGTAGATTCATGGATACAACCAACCTGAATAATTGGCAAAATATAAAACACATACAAGAGGAAATTATAATGACAAGATACTCATCAGAAAGTATATTTGACTCGAGTCACCTACAGTTCAAAAAGCCTCTATTGCTTCATCGTAAATCAAGTAACTTAGCGAAACTATAAATATATATACATCACTAAACACGGTAGCTCATGAATATTCTGAAAATATAAAAAGTATGTGTTATTGGCAATAAAAAAATACTATTGCTAGCTGTTTACCGTATGTGCAGATACTATAGCATTCCTAAATGAAAGTATCACAAATCACAGCCAGGATGATACGACTCATTCCAACCTGCATTCCAAAAACATTCACAGACAATACGAGTTTATTTTTGTGGAGGGAATGAATCGGTATTACAAAATATTATGATAGAGATCGATGCAATTTTGATGTTTCCTCATTTATATGGAGAATTATTGTTGAAGGTTGTTGTTGAAGGTGTTTCAGAGTGTGCAGCAGGATCGCTAGTCTTGATGACTTAGCAATAACTTGAATCTAGCACAATTTTTTTGATACTCAGATAACTATAACAACTTTCGACAAAAGAATGTCTTGCCCTCAAGTTGATCAATTATTATGTAACAAAGAGTGAATACCTCATAGTCATTATTACCCATCTCGTACAGGTCGGGTATTTTTCCATCATGCTGGAAGAGCTAGAGTCCAACCAATCCCCAAAGAAGGGAACAAGAACCTGCCCAACAACTACAGGCCCATTGCCCTGTTATCAGTAATCTCCAAAGTGATGGAGAAAGCCATCAATATTGAGCTTATCAAATATCTAGAGAGCTCAGGAATCATCAATGATAGACAATACGGCTTTCGCCACCGAAGATCTACTGGAGATCTACTTGCCTACGTCACCCATTTATGGCAATCTTCAATAGAAAAACACGGGGAATCTCTAGCTGTCGCGTTGGACATATCGAAAGCATTCGACCGTGTTTGGCACGAAGGACTCCGTGTTTGGCACGAAGGACTCCTCCACAAACTACCATCATACGACTTACCACCTCAACTATGCCATCTCTTACTGAGTTTTCTTTCAGGCAGATCGCTTCACGTTGTGGTGGACGGTGTGTCGTCTGATACCATTGGCATCAATTCCGGCGTTCCACAAGGATCAATTTTGGCACCAACATTATTCCTGCTTCATATCAATGATCTGTTGGGAGTAACAACTTGCCCCATCCACAGCTTTGCAGATGATAGTACCCTCCATACTGCGTTCTCTTCCAGAATTCCCATTTCTTTCCAGGAAACTAAGAACTCACGGCGCAGGCAGGTCAATGTTGTCAATGAAGATCTTGCTGAAATCACAGCCTGGGGAACGAACAACCTAGTTGAATTCAACGCCACCAAAACTCAAGCCTGCATTTTCTCTAGAAAGGCGGAACTCAGTATGCCCGATATTGTAATGTCGGGCTCCACCATCCCCACCAAGCCCACCATATCTTTGCTCGGTATTTCCATCAGCAACACTCTTTCATGGGATAATCATGTCAGATCCATCGCAAAAGCTGCTTCACAAAAACTCGGATTCTTGTTCCGTGCGAAAAGCTACTTTACACCTCAACAGCTTCTCATGATCTACAAAGCGCAGATACGGCCTGTTCTAGAATACTGTTCCCACATATGGGGTTCAGCACCAAAACATACGCTGATGCTCTTAGATTCCATCCAGAGAAGAGCCATTCGCCTGGTGGGTGACGCCACACTCACTCACTCTTTGACATCATTGGAACACCGTAGAAAGGTCGGCGACCTTTCACTTTTCTATCGATACTTCCACGGGAAATGTTCTTCGGAAATCTCTGCAATCATCCCTTCACTAGCAATACCAATCAGACGAACTAGACAAGCCCAGTCAGCACATCCTTACGTCGTCAACCTCGAAAGATGTCGAACAGCACTTTATCAAGACTCCTTCATCCATAGAACGGCTAGGCTCTGGAATTCATTGCCTGTGGAAGTATTCCCAACAACATATAATCTCCAAAAATTCGATAAAAATTCCAATACCTACCTCCTGTCCCTATCCCCCTTAGGAACGCACGATGTTCTTTGAACATTATAGGGATTCCCTTTCGTGCGCTCCAATCGATAAAAAAAAAAAAAATTATCAGGAAAATATTACTCTCCTGCGAGTACCAGTGCAAGAACGAGCATGAGTAGGTTACTTGCATGATATCGATCAATCAGAACAACCACAAAGTAACCAGCATTGGATCGATACAAAACAGTGAAATTGAACAAGGGAAGGCATCAAGTGAAAATACGATCATTTTATAGGATGATCAAACTAAGAAACGTTCACTTCTTGACAGAAAACTAGTCTGTTTGTGAATTCTCTCAAAATATTAGACATTAGATTCTGGTTGAATTCTTTGAATCTCTTCTGGTCCTACTACCTACAGACCTGTTCTGGCCAATTGACTGTCATCAGTGCGGTCCACTGATTGAATATAGTGTTGATATTACTAGTAATTCTTCAATTTCCATAGTTGAGATAGTATAACAGTATTTAAATCAGCCATTTCCATTTCTAACTAATATTTCGTATATTTTGGAGTGTTCTTATCCTTCTGTTCCATAAATGTCGCTAGTTCGAAGTCAAGCTTGTACGACGCTTCTTCGTAGATGAATGCCAAACTTTGTTTTCGATGATTTGAATGATGTCACTATCAGGAATCTCAATTGAGACAAAAATAATCAGGTCTCTGAGATCTCGGACACTCATGATAACCAACTGATTAGATAGGCAGTTGACTATGGCATTGAAGATTTCAGGTAAGGTTATGTCAATTTGATATGATAAAGGCTCTAGCTCGATGTAAATGTATATTGTTTTGTTATTCACAGCCTATGAGAAGAATGATTCTAAACAGTTTTCTAACTCAATCCTCCTAGTGTCAACTCTATACTGAGTTGTATACCATTTGCCATCCTCGTTTCATGTCATTCTGGGTAACATGTCAGGTTGATCGAACCCTCGAGTACAAATACATCTTTTCGATTGGGTTTTGGGAATCACCACAGTGTTTGGATCGCATAAATTGAAGGCTTGCCCTGATTCGACTCTATAAAAATATAGATGATACGTTGGGTGTTCGCTCCAGACGGTTGATTATAAGGGAAAACAATACCTCGGGTAATTGTCTGATCCACAGTGTATACTCGTGTCATGCGTGTCTAATTCTCAATATGTCAAAATCATCAATAAAATGTCTCCCACAGTTCGAAAGGGGTGTAGGTACAATAAGAGTTCTCGAGATGTGCAGACACGGACTATCCCTTCTGAATATGAAGAGAATGATTCAACAAATCACAAAAAGCTGGCAACAGAGTCATCCAGTGAACTCCAACTGATACAAGCTGATGGAACAAAATTAAGAAACCTGAGTGATTCATTCAGATATGAAAATAAACGATTACAAAGCCATAATAAAGAATTGCTGCAAGCTCTGGAGGAGGATAGGATGAAATTTGAAGAAGAATTGAATGAACTCCAGAGGAATATAAAACGCAACGATAATCGATCGATCGAGATGAAGAAATTCTTCATCGATCAACAAGAAAAAAACAATGAAGAGATGAAAGATCTGAAATCTACAATTGATATCCTTGAGAAAAAAAATATTGAGACTTCCCTGAAGGTGAATAAGTATAAACGTAAATTGAAATATGCTATTCGTATAATAAAAGAGTTGAACACAATGTTGATGCGATACACCACGCAACCTGTTGTTGTTAGTGCTGGAACTCAAACTGGTTATGAGTGTTCGAATCATCAAATTCATCTGGTCCAACAAAATGATCCGTATTCGAATAAAATCAATGATGGTTTACCGGAAAAAGAGGTTCTCTTACTATCTGATATTTTTTTCAGATCACGATCGTTTTGTGAAGAACTTTTTGATCTTGTTCAACATTAAAAAGGAAGATGTAATATTTTTTGATTGCATGATTATATTAGCAGCGAAAAGTGATGTTCTGCATCCTCTTTGCCTGCAGTACTTTCTGCATATTTGTGATAGTCATGATATCCTTCCACTGAACCCAATTTGTTCAGATGCTGATTGTTTCCTATGCTGATGTGATTGGAGTTGACAGTCACCTCATGAATATTGAATACAATTATTGTAGAATTCTCCAATCATGAAAAATTACAGGAGTTCTACGGATGAGATTATTGGTCTTCAATCATAAGGCCTATGATTTTCATTCCATTCTGAATTTCCGCATGTTTCATGGAATCGTATTTTCTTTTGAAATTTTTTTTATTTTATAATCATAGTTTTTTCGATATGCTCCCTCAAACTTTGTGTTACATCGACTCTGCTTTCAATAGTTGCGTACCTGATAATTCCATATCAAACATACAAGCATGAACGTCATTGTGAGGATTGATTCCTGCAAATCAAAAGATGGTTTATTCGCTTTGACGAAACATATCCCGAACACCATTACTATGATGATGAGGGTTCTTATTGTACAACCGATCATTTTGTTTTTCTGGTGCTTCTGTCATTGTTATTTCCATCTCCACTACTTGATTCTTCAAAATTTGCTGCTGCAAGTTTTTGATCAGTTCTTTTTTTAATATACCTACTTTAAAAAGAGGTTGATTCGTTTAACAGCACTAGTATTTCGAATAAAAATAAAACAATATACAGTGTGTCCTTGCTTAAACTTATCTCCGAAGTCATTAAAGAAATTGAAAATCACTCGGACAGGTCGATTTGAATTTGGCTGAGGACACATTTGTTTGTAAGTACCATATCCCAAAGTTGAAAACTTGAAGCAGAAAGATACAGAGTGGGTCGAGATTCAGAATTCTGATCACCCTGTATCTGTTCCAATTAGAGACAAGATTAAGACACAAACAAATCCTAAAGTTGAAAAATCTCGATTTTGAACACCCCTCCTCTCTGTAATAATTCCCACTAAACCCCAAGTAGTGTGATGCATTGGTGGAATCAGCTCTTCAGAAATAATTCAAAGATGCAATGGAATACAGTGTTCCATTTGAAAATCGGAAGTTGATGCCCTTTTTGCTTCAAGGTTTCAACTTTGAGATAAGGTTGTTAGGAAAATTCGTTCCCCGCCAAAGTTGAATTGATCTCTCCGAATAATTTTCAATTTTTATTTTTCCAACGACTTCGGAGATAAGGGGGGTGACAAGTTCTAGCTGGGACACACTGTTTCTCAATCAAAGAACGTCAAAGAGGGTCGGATAGGGAAACAAATCATGCCACGAAAAACATACTGAAAGTCCTAACCCCTTGGGGATGAGCAGGGCGATAGGGGAGCGAATGAAGGTCAAGTTATTCTTGAATAACTCGGGAATCGTGATGAAAAAGGCCCACTAAACATGTGATGTTACAGAATATTGCCACAATATATTGTAAAGCTTTCTTCCGTAATATGAAAATTGAATATTGTATCAATTTTGCTACCATATTCGGGTAGAAAATATAACATAAAAACCTATCGACAAATTGTTTGTAAGTTACAAAATCCCACTTCAATTTCGTTTCAATAGCAATATTGCATTAACTATATATTCTCATTGAACTCGTAACGTTAGATTGATTAACTACGAACAATATCAGTGAAATTCCAATTGTAGGGTTGCATTGAAATTGACACTCATTGAGTTTGTGAATAACGAAAGCTTACTACAAACAATATAGCTACAACTCATGATATGCAACACAAATTTGATTTCAAATTTTAGTATAGCTGAAATATACAAATTGTGTATCGATCGAAATACGCCATTTTATGAAATGCCTACGCGCATTCGCAAACTTGCATTCGACAAAAGCCAGCATCTCAGTCGCCATATTTGTTGGTGTTTGGCTTCAGTTACAGGTATTTTGTTGTTATGTAACATGAAAATTTACCTTTATCTCAACTCGAGTATCAGAATGGTACAGTTTCCACTTTTTGTGCTCAGACTTGTGGCAAGTCCAACCTAAGTAAACAGCTAGACTTTTAGTTCACATTTTATTACAAAATCTTACAAGATGTGAATTACATTACATGACTATTTTGGGTATTTCATTATGTTCTTGTACCTGTTGGATTGGTTGGCTCACTGCTTATGTTTTTGGGAATATTGATGCCTAAGATTGAAATGAACCTGTAGGTTCTTGCTCAGAGAAATGGTCATAACTTACCTGATGTCATTCCGTGTATCCTTTGAACTGAAGCGGTCAGCCCTAAGCAATATTGCACTCCAGGAACAATCTGAGAAGGAAAACAGAGGATTTGGTGGAATCACAGAGAAAGTATTTGAGCTTCAAGAAGTATTGTACTCCACGGTTAAAAATTCAATTGAGTGAAACTTTTCGTCAAAATATAAAGTTACAATTAGTTTCATCAGGAACTCAAATCTTTATGAATGTCAGTCAAAATGGTGTATATGATTTCCCGATTTTTTTTCATACTTCTGAGAAATTTTGTGTCAGTACAATCGAAAGGGTAGCAATAAAATTATTACACAATCCGGTGTGGACCTGGATTGACACTAAGTTGTGTGGACCTGGAGTTAAAATCAACTCAAAAATGTTTACCGTGTACCGATTGAGTCTAACAGATGCTAGGGCTTTCTTTATCTTTCCCCAAATTCGTTTCTTTGGAAAGTTTTTTTCAAATTCGTATTTGTTTATGTATTTTCATTAGCTGTTCATCTGATGAATTACAATTTGGCCAGAGTCAGATGTCAGATTGTTTCATGTCAAGTCAGGTGGTCTTCGTTCTCTTTAGTGCTGTTCGTTTGCACTTAGAGAAATCAGTCTTAAGTCATGTAAAGGGTTTCCCAATAAGAACGCTCGATCTTTGGCAACAGCGCATTACAAGGTCGAAAGTCACACAGGCGTTATCTTTGGCAGGAATATTCAGTTAGCTTTAACACTTATTATGGAGCGTTACACAATTCAACAACGTGTCGAAATCGTCAAAATTTATTACCAAAACCAATGTTCCGTTCGGCAAACATTCCGCGCACTTCGCGCAATTTATGGTGCTAATGATCGTCCTGCAGAGTCCTCAATTCGCCGTTCAATGAACAAATTTTATGGAACTGGTTCAGTGGCAGATCAAAGAACTCCTGTACGTCAGCGAAGAGTAAGATCTCGGTTGACGCCCTTAAAGTCAACATCAGGCGCGAAATTGCAGCGATTGAGCCACATCTGTGCAATCAGGTCATCGAAAATTGGACTCGCAGAATTCGACTCACCAGGCAAAGCCGCGGCGGATATTTAAGTGACATAATTTTTAAAACATAATGTAGTTACATATGCTTCAAAATAGATATTGAATTATGTCAGTTTTATTTATACTTTATTTTTTATTACACTTTAAAGATCGAGCGTTCTTATTGAGAAACCCTTTAGATCTGAATTTTCGGTGACACGTCATGTCATTACAAAGTCGTGTGTCAGAAGTCGAATGTTACCCAATTACGTGAGGTAAATCCAATGTTCTCATTGGCTAGGAGTTGAAAACTTTTGGCTTCAACGACGCCATGACGATGGTGAAAAGCACATTTGTAATTTTGCCTTTCGAGGTGATAAAACACCGACTCTACTTGTATTTTTCATAGAAAGCCGATCCCTCATGGAGAGTGAGTTTTCCAAATCATTATTTGATATAAATAAAGGAAGGTCGTTCTCAATTATAGATCTGCCGGCTACCAAGTGAAGTTCTATTTCCCAATTTTGGTTTGTGGCTATCACATCTTGTCTCGCCATTGGCCAAGAATTGGTTTCGCTCGACCACCGATCATTCACTGGATCTGATTTTGGCTATTCTTCTGATCTCAACGAACCCATCAAGTCTGGTTTTCTATACCTGGTTTCAAACCCCAAGACTCTGAAGGTGAAAGGAACCACCAGTCTGGGAAACTGCAGGAAGGGATTGACTACCTGCCTGGACTGTTGAAACCACCAATCTTCAAAGGACCCTTCATGAAGGATGGTCCTGGAGCTTTGAAGGAAGTTATAAGGGCCCAAACGATAGCAGCATTTCCCGGTGAGCTCCACCCAAATTGTAATATGTTCATTCTGGTTTCCTTTCTCACATTCAGTATAACTTCACAAACATTCATTAAATTTTATTGTATTCATACTTGAAAGACAGGCGTGAATTGAGTTTAGTTTATTCACCTCATTTTTTATGAGCATTTAGTCAGCAAGTGCTTCTTGTTCATGACAACATTTGAGAGATTCTAGAATTAATATATTCATGATTCAATTTTTATATTGTTATGCAATGGTCCATGTGAACCACATGCAGCTGCACGCGGTACCCATTGAATTCTCACTAGCTTTTAACTAGGGATTGCATTCGAATATTTGCACACTAGTAGTACTAAAATCAGAGTGTGGTTAATTTGAGAACAATCAGAGTTCACTCCCCTTTCTGGCTATATATTTTAGTTATTAAACTACCTATGACTAAATATCACACTGTTCGGTTTTTTTTATTTATCTTCACATCAGATTTAAGTGGCGCCCCTTTCAGAATATATAAAAAAACTGATTAATCAGGAACATCTGATCAACCCACGTCCCCGCTCTCCAGATAGATTTTTTTATTGTTCTTCAAACTTAACAGTTTTTAACAGGGGTTCAGGTACATGATTTGAAGTTATATCAAAAAATAAACAAATATAGATATAAATACATTGATATTCAAGTGAGTAGCAAAGTAAGGATAAACAAGAATAAAAACAAAAATACATTGTTATACAGAGATAATCTATAGGAATGATTGCGAAAATGATGTTTGGCAGTCATTTACAATAATTCACTCATTTAAGATAAAAGATCCCAATTTCATGATGTTGTACATATGATCATAGATAGTTTTTCCTATTGTTGACGTTATGTTATTGAGAACGTTAACAAAGTTTTCCATGTTGGAGAGGTATTCGACGTTCGGAGGTTTCATAGAGGTATAGATCGG